AGTGGTTCCCAACCACTAGGGGTCGCCAGAGCTTCACGGGGGGTAGCGTGGCCTTCTTGATCGTAAGAGTGTAAGAAAACTTATACACATAAGATATAGGCCTCAGCATTTAGTTCATTTCTGAGAAGAAAAGTAAAGTAAAATGTTGTTTTTAAAGTTTAGATTATTATTTAAGTGAACTTTGAAGGCTTTAACACAAGTTATATTCACAGAGCCTCCACTCTCTGATAAACAGCCTCGTCCTGCATTCGAAAAGTTCAAACAACCAAAGAGCCGATAAAACAAGGAGAATGAAACACTGAATTTGCGTGATTGTTAAAAATTATTTACAAAAATACATAACATAAATTCATCCAAATCTTTCATTTTACTATTTGGGTTCATTGTGCAGTTTTCAATATTATATGAAATATACACAGAATATGTCACTTAGTCAGGGGTCATCAGTTTACTAAGGGATAGAAAAATTGTCCATTGGGGAAAAAAGTTGGGAACCACTGGTATAGACAGTTGGATGAAATAACTAAATCTTATTAGATATAGGTCCACACGAACTTTACACCAAAAAGGCTGAGAACCACTGTAGTATAAACTCTATATAAAACAAATGATCTCTTACTAATTAATACATATTTTATAATTTTTATAACATGAATAATTCAATATTGCTTTTTATATTCCATTCAACAGAAAATGCAGTTTCAGCTACCAGAAGTGCAAAAAGCAGGAAGTGCAGAGTACTGCACATGGGCATGTGTATAGATAAACAGTAGGGGGTAGATATGAATATAGTTTAATATGTTATAGTATAGGATGAACGGTGTGAAATAAAGGTGTAAGGACAAGTAATGGCAATAGTGACACAGCATATACAGGCCTGTATAGCCTATTTTTTCACAAACATAATATCACAAAGTACATATGAAAAGGTCACTTTACAGTCAATTATTGACTTGCACTGAAGAGATATGACCTGATACACAAACTCTATAATACAAAAAGCACATACTAAAGGAAAACTATATGAAGAAGGAAATGCATGTTAAATGTTGTAGAGCATTATACAGCGAAAGAGACCAAAACAGCTAAAAGAGGAGTGAATATTAGCTTTATATTAGTCAGGTATTTCTGGGTGTTTCTGCAGCTACGGTCACTTTTTTTACTCTTTTATTTTAATCATCATTTTAATCTGACATTTGTTTATTTGGATGCACATAATTGGCAGCTAGCAAGGTCTGCTATGTTAGATTTGACTTTTAGCATCTTATTTTTAAAATGTAGTTCAAAATACACAATTACTAAGGACACAGTTAATACTTCAAAAGAAAAGATGTGCTTACTTGTATACTAACTTGAGTTTGTTTGGTTTTGAAACATTTAGGCATTTGGTCAGTGTCGCAGTAAGGACTCAGAAGTAAAGGACAGGCACATTTATATGAAAAATGATATAAATGATTAGTAAATTAAACATAATTTAAATATGGTGTGAAGTACAATTTATGTCAAATAATTGAGACCACAGTTGTGTTAAATGTACAAAAGTGGTGTTTGGACCCATACAATGCTTCATAAATGTTATAAAATCACATTATTTACTAATTATTGTATGTCATGATGTGTAATGACACTATATAGGCTATATTAATCAAGCATCACATGACAATTTTTAGCAGTAATCCAAACTTTAACTAGTTTTTTACAGAAACACCCTTATAGGATTTATATTGGTCAACTTTATAAGGTGGTAATGTCAGTGTTGTCTGTTTAGAGCTTGGTCTGCTGTCCCCTAGTGGCCAAATAATCTGCTTTAATTTCTGCACTCTCAATCAGTCATTTAAACTTGATTGCACAAGTTACCTGTCATGGATGCACAGAGCAAAATAAACTAACCTAACCTATGATGAGTGACAAATTAAAGGGGAAAAAACAACATTAAATGTCTTTGTATGGTTTCGGCCACCATGAGCCTCCAGAACAGCTCCAGTGCTCCTTTGCATGAATTCTCCAAGTCTCTGAAAGGAGGGTTGATTATTATTCTTCCAAACAATATTCCCTCGTTTTTGATGATGGCAGAGGAGAAAGAATCTTCCAAATCTCCCACAGGTGTTTGACTTAGAGGAGATCTGGTGACTGCATATGGTTTTCATCATTTGCCTACATATCAAAGCACACAGTGACTCCTTGTGCCCCATATGAAAGTGTCTGACTTGATAACTTGGTATGCGCTGCAGATTAGTGGACCGTAAAATGCCAAACTAATATGTATTAGCCATTGTGAGCCTCCCAGGTCAGATTTGACGGTGAATGTGGATTCAACGTTCTGGTAGTAGCAGATGGTGTAAGAAGAGAAAGGCAAAGAAATCATGGAAAAATCCCTTCCAACGTGTACTGTATATTCTCTTCAGGGAGAGGGGAAGGGGGGGAGGCAGGAAGCAATGAGGCTGATGGGAAATGTGCTGCTAAGTTAACGAGCAAATTCAAATGAGTGAAGCTGATGATGAACGTTCATCGTGATGCTGCTGGGACCTGGTAAATGATTGGACTTGCATATTTTATGTTATTTCATTTCATTGTTGAAAGTATGACTTACAGAATTTAATCACAATGGATGTAATTAAGGATTTCTTTAATTAATTTTTTTATGATGACCTGCAGAGACCAAAAATGACATTTTAAAGGGAAAACAAATCTACAGAAGTTGATCTACAAATGAGGACACATTCAAAACACAAAATAATGAAGTATTACCTTTGTAATGATGGACATTGAAATCACAGATGCAGGCAATTGTTTGGAAGGTGTTTCTATATACACACGCTGAAGGATTTATATTCAGTTTATTGTATTTTTGAGCTGGAATTGGGTTAAAATATATTTTCTCACTTCTGTCTTTTATTGTGAGCATAAAACTATAAATTTATTAAATTTCTGTCTTTTGAAAAATTCAAGGAGCTGCAGGGGAGAGACGGGCAGGATATTAGCCGGTGGGACTGACAGATTATATTAATGGGATTACAGTAATCGGATTTAAAAAGTGGCATGTAATGTAATCAATGTAATCTTACACACCTACTCTAAAAACACAGTAATCAGATTACAGTGTCTGGTAGTCAGAAACATAAAATTCAGAGTATTCAGATTATTAACTCATTTTTTGCAAAGCCATTTAAAGTAAAAAATCTACCGTTTTATTGTTTTTATTTTTAGGAAATGTCTGGTCCTTGCACTCATTCATATTTAAATAGTATTATTTATATACTTCCCTTTGTCTTTACTGCTCAGGATAGAGTTAAACTCTAAAGCAGGGAGAAATCTCTGTCCTCATGAATCCAGGGGCTGTGTGAGGTCATATAACACCGGGACGCCCCCAAGCGGAGAACAGCGGCGTTACACCATGAACTCCTGCTAAAAATAGTTAAGTTTCGGTTTCCAATCATCATAAACGATACCAAAAAACCCTACTCCACTGAACCCAGCACAGTGAGCACAGTCAGCACAGCTGTCTCTGCGGGACCTGGTGCGGGAAGCACAGGGCGGCGCAATGATGGAGTCTGAAATACTGAAGTTCATCTGCGCCAACCAAGGAGCGGTTAACACCGAGTATTTGGTGTTCAATCTCGGCGCAGTGGAGGATATCATTTCTAACCAAGAGACTTTTGTTTCGTGTTGCCCTTACGGACAGCCGAAGGTGGTGGCCAGGACCAGTCTGAGACTGTGCAGAGCCAAAGACTGTCCCGGAACATGCGGGGGGCTACACCTGTGTAAACACTTCCTCTTCCGCGGATACTGTCAGTTCATGCAGTTGAGGTAAATATATTTGGCCTGAAGTGTTGAAGTGGTCTGAAACTGGCCCGGGTGCCTGAGGTTATTAGTGCAGGACGTTAGAGAGGCCTGTGACTCCTTCAGGGACCTCTCAAAAATAACTTTTATTGTTTAAATCCTATTTGTCATCAGTTTAAATGTGTGCTTTAAGCTGTCCATTGAAGACCGACACTGTCACGGGTTGGTTTTGGCGCTGTAATAACATTTTACGCGGTTGCATTTAATGTCTCTCTGTTTTAAAGGCCTTGACACACGTGGTGCGTTCAGGCACTGTTGGCGAGGTCTGACACGTCCCTGTAGCTCTACAGGTTAATGTAATACCTTGGACAGCTGACATCGCTTAGACTGACTCAAAGTTAGAATAATGCTATTTAAAGGTTATGAGCTGTTGAACATTATTACAACAAACAGCTATTTTTTACACACAGATACAGGGGAGTCACCTTAATGGCGTCCTGAGCAGAGAATGAAGTCACTCTGAGCTTCTCTATTCTTTGTTTTTCACTTCAGTGCATGTCCAGCTGTTTGCTAGCTGTGTCCCAGACATTGAATTGAATCAAACCATCAAATGTTAGCTTCCTAAAGCACATTTTACTTGATGCTTTAGGTAGCTAGCGTTAGCAGGACAGCTAGCTAACACCTTACATTGTTTTGTCACTCGGCAGATTAAAGAAATGGCTCCCTACCAGTTTGAATATTAAATGTTACTAAATGTCACTACAAATACAGTGTAAAAATCTTCTTGGTTGTTTTGTGTGCTTCTCATCACTTGACATTGTTCAACAGCTAACTTTATACAGTTGTTCTCGTTGTGTGTTCAACACCTTCCTGAGAACACTAAAGGGGAGGTGTGGTCGACGAATCCATTTGTTTTTGTCTGAGATGCTAGTGCTC